AGCAGAGAGTAGTTAGTGATTATTTTAGGAAAAGAGTAAATTAAGAGGAAGTCACATAGTTATGCATTAAGCAAAACCTGTGTTGATAATGTTAGGGAATTGTCCATGAGTCCTTATGCCCAGGGAGTTATCTAAGATTAGCTTTTTGTTTCAAAAGACCAAGGAAGCTTTCCAGGAGGCTTGATGCTTCCAGGGTCTTATCTCTCCAGGAGCTTGCCTTTTGTCTTCAGTCAAAGGAATTTCCTGCCCTGAAACAGCTCAGCTATTACTTCCCCCAGGCCAGGTAGCCTATTTGGAACTAAGGCCATCCAGTTACAAACTGATGCTGCTACAATATTTTTGATATTATGATTATACAAAAAAGGGAGATCATAACATAAGTCAGCAATGGAAACTCCGATTTTTCAGAGCGTTCCCTATCCGCCCGAAATTTGTCAGTCAACAGAAGTTGCATAGCTTGTGTCATCTTTATTCCTTGGCCCTTATACTTCAAATAATATTCACCTTAGTGAAGCAGAGATATGAGTATATCCAACTCTCAACATCACAAATGACTGTCGCAATTTAAAAAAGAGTAACACTGAGCTCTAATTTGAAGACCATTGTGAATTTCATATGTTTCTGATTAGTTTGAGTACAATGAGTTTATGAAGATGAGGGAGAGCTCAGATAACTTAAATATACATATGGCATATTTTTTCATCAGTTCATAGTTTCTGTTCTCTCCTTTCTTTGCCAAAAATAATTAAAAAACAATATTCAAAAGTGGAAAATGTAACCCCGTTAGTCTCTCACACCCTTATCCCAAATATCTTATTACTATGGTCAACCTTGAGCATCTCAGACACCCCCCTTATATACCATCACTTTTGTGATAGTCAAGATAATGAACTTGGATTTCCAAGTCATGCCCTATGCCCAGAGTATAGTACACCACTTCCAGTTCCATTCATTGAGACAGCTACAGCCACCTCAGCTCCTATCTGGCTTCATTGTCTTTAGATTAAATTATTATCTGCTATAATAGATGGGCTTTTTTTTTTTTTGCTCCCTGCATTAGAATATTGATTCCACATGGAAAGGAGTTGTGTCTGTCTTCAGTGTGGATTGCTTGTGCCAAAGGATGCTTTATGTTTCCAGAACCTATGACTGTGTCTGACACATAATAGACAGACAAAATTCATATGTTGAACAGATGGTTGAATACATGAATGAAAGAGAATAGTAAGAATGGTTTACTTGGGGGAAGGGTTACTTCTTTATTTTACATTTGGAACAAACAAGTATATAGATCTAAACACTGAATCATCCCTGAGTTTTTACAATCCCTCTTACAACTTTGACAGTTCTATTATCTTGAAGTTAAATATATACCCACTCTGTGATGCTTTGTCTGAACTCCCTTGATGATATACATTTTGAAAAAAACTTCTGTATTGTCAGTGACACTAGCCTCTATGGAGTCCAAGATTATTCATGTACCTTGATCTTTGATTAAAACACAAAAAGCTGGAAAGTGAGTTTCTTCATAGCCTTAAAACATTGTCTAGAACACAGACAAATTGGGGAAACATCGATATTTACAATATATATCAAATGAAATTATGAATTGTTTCCTTGACTTCATCACAGGATACTTAAACATTATGTTTAAGAGTCTGAATCTGTCGTGAACCATAGTTTACAAGTGGCAAGTGTGTGTTGAGGAGTCTAGAGTGGGAAGATCCTGGACCCATGCCAGACAGTAAAAAATATGCAGGAAACTAGCAAAGCCCTACAAGTTTGGATGTCCTGTGCCAGAGAACACTTAATGGATTGCAGTGCACCGAGAAAGAAAATGTCCTTCTATTTTCCATCATACTTTCTTCTGTTAAAAAAAGAAACAATAGGCTCAATATGGGCTTATTTGTGCCAAACTCCAAAAAGATTCAATATCCAACCTAATGGCTATTTCATCCTTTTCCAAAAGAAGGATTTTAAATTAACAAACATGGAATTTTCTGGGCTGTACTAGTCAGGTAATTTGTATGAAAAGAACCCCCCTTCTGGCCTTGCAGAAGGTGGCTTTGTTTGTTTTACTTGTTTTATTGTACTATCCCCTTGCTGACCATAAAAAAACATTCCATTTTGTACACCCCTTGCAATTCCTTTCTCCTTCCTAGATGGGATGCTCTTTAATTCATGAATAGCTTAATACAGTCAATTAGATCTCTAAATTTAATTTAATGACCCTTGTTTGTTTAACAGGAAACAAGCATCAAATACTCATCACTTTACATCTATTAAAACTCTAAATATCTAGACAATTTTTTCATACCCCCCTCATTAGGAATACCCCAGATAATGCCAACTTCTGATTATGAAACTTAAAGGAATAACTTGGGAATGCTTTAAGTTGTGGAGAGGAGGAAAATTAATTTACCTGAGATACCCACTGTAATAAAAGACGTATTTCCCAGGAAAATCCCACACAGATGTTCACACTTATAGAAATAAATATAAGGTGGAAAATGATGAGAGCATTTCTCCCAGATTTCTAGTTCATTCCCATTCCTTTACAAACAGCTATAAAAAAACAGATCATTAACATTTTCATTAAAATGCCTGACAAATAACTTATGCCTCTGCATTCTAACAATCATGACACTACTACCATTCAAGCTCTTTAGGAGGGATATAATGATGTAAGATCAAATATACTACCTTCCTACCACCCAAGATAATACTGTCTTTCCACCATCTAAGAACAGATGGAAAATGACTGAGAGCTGTGTTGCTTTCTAAATAGGAAATCATTATTTGTTTTCCCATTAGACTTAGAGCATAGATGGGGTCAGCAATTAGGTATCTTTGCTAATCTCTCCACCTGGATAGTTCTAAAGCTTCAACACCAACATTATCATCTATTTATTTGATCAATAATGCAGATAAACTATTTTTGCAGGCTTCCCCCAAACCTACAAATATTAGCTTAATCAATCTAATAAAATATGTAGTAGAGAACAAACTGTTGGAGAAGTTACATGGCGTCGTGTGCATGCCATATAATCACACAGGCAGCTAGAGAAGGGAGTTTAGAGATGCTAGTGATTCACTAAATATTAAGCTTAGTCTTTATAGTGATCTCTACAGTCCATCCATGTTCAATCATTGCTGAAATGTTACATAGAAGTGCTCTACAGATTGTTAAAAAATGTTCTAAAGCATCTGAGAGTTGTTAAAAATTAGCATTACCAATCTGTCATTGATAGAACAAAGAAAGTGTGAAGTCTGCTCTACCATAAGAAAGGATAATTCATTGTGAATATGAACCAACCAAAGGGTTCCTTCCATATGTTTAGAAAAATACCCTGACACCAAATTAAGCAAAGAGTTCATAAAATCTTCTGAGAAGGGAACACACGGGGCGCCCTCAGGTCTCTCTCCCCATCTATACAAGGGAGTGGGTTTATATTGTTCCGAGGGTATAACTGAAAATAAAACAGTAAAATTTTATTGACTAAGAGTAGATTAAAGGCAAAGGTATAGGGACATGGCTGAAATGTGTTGGTTAGTTATAAATTGGTCAGTATATGAACAATTTTCTTTTCAAAGGGTAGACGGGTCCTTTCCTCGTGTGCTGTGTTTGGTTCTTCTCTCTGTCTTCTTGGTTCTATGTCAAAGGTCTCTTGGTTCCAGGTGACTTGGAGTCTAGTCTAAAGGTCAATCACTTGGTATCACTTGAGCTGTATGGTTTATAGAAAAGCATCGCTCTCTGTTTCCTCTGCAGAAAACCAGCTCAGCATTAGTTAATATGTTTAATTGTTCTGCTAACAGTGGAACAATTAGGGTTTTAAATGCATCCCATAACCTGAATAAGCTTGTGTGGAAATCTGTGTGAGTTATTTGAATAAAAATCACCTTATATAAAGGATTATTATTTTTAAAGGTAAATGGCTACTTTGAGGATATGCTATATGTTTACTTTAACACCTCCATGTGTGAATGTGTGTGTGTATGTGTGTTTCACAACAACCAGGAGGTTGCTATCTTCAATTTTTAATTGCAGAAAGGTTAATTATTTGCCAGAAATTATGGAGTATTTCGTTGTATTGGTACCTGAACCCAGAACTGGTGACTTCATTACTATTGTTTTCTAGTTATTTACACAGCCTTCTGAAAATAAAAAAAAAAAAAAAGCAAAACTCACTGCCACGTTCAGCTCAAGTAATATAAGCAACAACCTCTGTGTAAAAGAAAATATGAAAGAATCATTGTCACAGTTATACAGCTACCCAGAATGAATAGAGATGTTTGAAAAAATTGGGGGAGCTCTTTTGTATGACAGGAAATAGTCAAAAGCAGTAGAGTATGTAAAGGCTACAGCCTCAGTCCATCAGAAAAAGCACAGAGTAGGAAAGCAGTTGGTGATATTTTTCACCCTTGCTTGGATAGATTTTCATCATCATTTGGTGCATTAATTCTATTTGGCTCCTGGAAACAGTAATTTGCTTAATAGCTCTTTTGTGACTGAGGGAGTTAATACACAATCCCAAATGAATTCACTTCCAGCTGGGGAGGAGTTTAGACAGAGAAGGAAAAAAAAAAATCTAACTTCATTTTTCACAAATAATATGATGATAAAGTTGGAGACAACTACTTCAGTATTTTTGTTGGAAAATTCATGTAGCTATATTTCTTTGAGTCAGCATAGATGTAATGCTTAGGACATTAGTAATATCTTTCTAATGTTAATATTTTCTGGATCCTAATGGGAAATTTTTATATTACACTAAATTTTTAGCTAGACACAATTCTAAATTAATATCTTAAAATTATAACTTCCTATTTTTGAAATAGCTCAGAATAATTACCTAGTAACACAAAATTTACTTTTTTTGTAAGTTGTTATTAGCCTACTGCCACTTAAGATGATCTGTTTAAGTGATTGTTATTTTTTTAGTTATGCTAGAGCAATATTAAGACATACATGTAATTGTATGCTTACATTTTCTTGTTAGGTGATAAAACAGGAAGAACTTAGCAAGGATCTTTCTGAATGCACTTTGTATGATCTACTGAAATATGATGATTTTAATGCTGATAAACACCTGGCTCTTGAGGAATTTTATAGAGCATTCCGTGAGTATTACATTTCTTCTCTAATTTCTTTTGATTATTTTTTTTCAGTTTCTTACACAGTAGTATGTTTACTTGATATCAGAGTACAAACTGTTTCTTAAGAAAAGTGATGTAAGGGCCCTCCCTGGCGGCACAGCGGGTTAAAGCACAGCACTAAGAAGCTAACGCCACTTCAGCATGAGTTCAATCCCCGCCCACCCCGGAGGTGACCCACATGGTGACGCAGACCTCTCCTGACCTGCCCGCTGCTCCCCTCAACAGTGTACTTTGTCGCTCTGCCTGTTCTGCTCCCAGCTCTGTCTCTGGTGAATCTTCTCACCTCTCCTGCACATATGACCTGTACCCCAGTTCTGTATGCATAAATAAATAAATCTAAAAAAAAAAAAGTGGTTTACTAAAATGGATAGAATTTTGTGATAGTTAAAGTAATTTGAAAAGATGAATATCCTTCCTGTTAGGAATATGAAATCCCAGATAGACAATATAAGGATAACAGAATTAGTAGAGATAAATATCATGGTTTTCACATCCAGAATATGTTCCCCCAGGTTAAAAAAAATAAATAAACAAAAAGCCCAGGAAACCAGAAAGTCTATGGATGGATATCCAGAAGAATAAACTAAGACTGGAGGTGTTAATTAACTTATCTTGAATCACTAATTCTTTGATAGTAGATACAAGAATGAACAGATTTACTGAGTTTCAGTTTATTTTTCTTTTTTTGTCATGCTATATAATGGAAATAAAGGGAAGCTTGCAAATAAGAAATGGTTACTGATAAAACAAACAAATCAATTTAAATATTACATTATTGATAATTAGATTATCAACACAATATTGATGAACATTACTATAATATTTTTCCATTGTAGATAAGGAGGGATTATTATATTTTAATATTTTCAATAGGTTTGGAACGTGAAATATTCTTACATTTTACAGCATTTTGGAATTCTTTTTAAAAATCCACGAAGGCATTAAAAATGAATTGTTACTAGTTTTTCAAATAATCTTAAATTTTACTAAGATATTTAAAATAAATCCTCAGTTTGAGCAGCAAGTATTCTAAATCATTCCACTTGCAGTTGAAATCTCTTCATGAAATCCAGTAAATATTCATAAGGGTCAGGGCCAAAATTTTGAGTTCAGAGGAAAAATGTTAAATCTTCTGGTCAGAAAGTTGATCTCTTATCCTTGCAGTTTGTTTTCTTGAGTATTTTTTGTAAAAAATGTAGCTTTTTTTCAGTAAAAACATCTTTTACAGAATTTAAAATGGTTTAGGCATGCATGTAATTACTACTACAAAGATTTGTAATAACAGACAAGATTCATTGTTTTAATTTCTCCTATGTCAAATTGGTAATGTTTACCTAAGCTCGATTTGCATGAACTACTATATTTATTGCTTTATATATGGAAAAATGAAGTGATTACCTCCCAGACAAGATGACCATATGTTGAGCGGAGACATTTAATTTCAGACGGGATTTTCAAATAAATGTTTATATTTACTTATTTGTGTAGTTAAACTTAATTAAGGTGACAAAGTACCTTGTTGTGACTATTGATTTTAGGAACAAATTGCTTTCATTTGGACTTTCTAGATAGCAAAAAGTGGTGCAATTCACAATCCAAAGAAAGAATATTTGTTTTGAAAATGATTTCATTATAATTTATTTGTCCAGTTAAATCATAAATTATGTTGACTTTCTGTAGTAATTAAACTTGGAATTATATGAAAACAGAAATTTTTGTAACTGATGGATTTATCAAATGTTATTAAACTAGTATAAGTTGTGATTTTTAAAACCACATTTATGTTGGTTTGAATCCTAATGTTACACTTAAATAAACCTGTATAAATCAAGATAATCTTCCTGAGCACAAACATCCAAAGAAGATATGTTTCTACTAAACATATGATATTTAGGGTTTTACAGGCATACTGAATCAACTGGGAACATTTATGTTAAAATTAGTTGTGTAATAGCTCTATTTCTCTCCTTTCTTTAAAAGTACAGGTAACACGGATTCTGCATTTTTAAATTATTTTTAAAATATGGACTTCTTAAAAAATCACATTTATGATTCTATTAAATACACCATCTTTTCTTATGTGAAACACTTCTTAATGGAATATAAATATAGAAAACTCAGTTTTCTAGGAAATCATATTTGCTACGATGAAATATTACTTATTGTAACCATCTAATAACCAGAATTACAAAATATGAACATTGTATTAACTCACATCTTGACTTGATGAGTGATTCTGCACAGGAGAGAGAAAAGATGGGGTCGAGGATAATGTCCTGTTTTCTAGCTTGTGTACTAAGGTGTACATGATGTTGTGCATTAAACTAGGGAATACTGGGAAAGAAAGAAATGTAGTTAGAATTTGGACATTTTTGCAAATTAAAATAGAAGTAGCTAGTTAGTGAATAATTGTAGCCTGCATTGTAAGTAGGAGCTCAGAAATGAAGATATGAAGCTTGTAGTTAAATTTGATGCTCTGGCAGGGAGCAGGGTATTCAAGGGGAGTATCTGAAGAAAGGAGAAATGGGCAAAAGGGGAATAGGAAATATAGGAAATTCAAAGTTAAAAAAAAAAGGTAGAAAGAAAAGAGGTAGAAAGAAAACCAAATCATGAATAAGGAGGAGCTTATTAATATTTTCCAAGGTTGAGTTCGAGACCAGAAACTCATCAGAGATGAGCATACAGAGCTGAGAGGATTCACCAGAAACAGAGCAGGGAGAAGAATAGGCAGATCGAGGAGGAAATGCACTCCTGAGGGGAGCAGCGGGCGGGTCAGGAGAGGTCTGCCGAGCCACCTGGTCACCACCCTGGCTGTGAATCGAACTTGCGATGAAGCGGCTGCGGTGAGCTTCATGGTGCTGTATTTTAACCCTCTGCGCTACCAGGGAGGGCCGAAATACTTATTTAATGACCAAAAAGTAGAGTACATAAGCCTACATAAATGAAATATTTAGATCAAAACAAGAAAAACTCAACTATGATTTTAGAAATTAATAGGGTGGTTGTCTTTGGAAGAGCTGAAGGCAAGATGACCCCATTACTGCTGGTAATGTTTTGCATTTTGTTTGGACTGATTTAGGAAATACTGAGTTATACTCAACATATCTGATACAAAACAGCCACTCTGAGCTTTGTAGCTTGAACTCCTACATCTGGTCTGCCTTTGTGTTTTTCTAGTTACCTTCAGCCTCTGACAATTTTGACATTCTAATTTCACATTGGTAAATTCTTCTTGCTCTCCTAAACTATTTACAACTCCTTCAAAGCAGACTCCATTAGATATTTTAACTTTTTTTAATACAACATTTATTTTATTCTTCTTAGTCATTTCTTAATTTTCTAGCAGTCACATCAATAAAACCAAATAAATGATATGAACTTAACATTTTATTTCAACCAAAAGCTGTAATTTTATTACCTTTACGTATTATCGATATAAATATTATGGAAATACTCCCCATTAATTTTTCTTACCAAGTTATAGATATGATATTTTACGTCACCATACGGCTCAGTTTGGTCCAGCCATATTTGAAATGCTCAGTATCCACCTGTTTTTACTGAGTACCATCTTGATAGTGTAATACTAGAATATTAAAATAAAAGCAATCTTTCTTAATTTTCATTCCAGTTATTTTAAATATGCAATTAAGCTCATTTTCCAGTAGAAGATAAACAATTGTGTCAACTTGAAGTTCATATCTAGTTTTCAGGAGATCAGAACCATACATACTTACAGAGTGAATATAATAATGTAACAAACAAAGTGTACATCTTGGCACAAATACTGTTTATTTTACTAATAAACATATTTTTCCTTTAAACCATTGTCTCACAAAGGTTGTATTATCAGCGGATCATATGAATCACAAATCCTCTGTCCACAGTAATTTCTTTCAAAATATTTTTATACTTCTAAAGTAACTTTTTTTTTAAGATTTATTTATTTATTCATACAGAACTGAGGTACAGGCCAGAGATGTGGAGGGTGAGAGGATTCACCAGGGACAGAGCGGGGAGCAGAACAGGCAGATGGTGAAGTACTCTGCTGAGGGGAGCAGCGGGTGGGCCAGGAGAGGTCTGCCACGCCATGTGGTAGCCTCCAGGGCAGACGAGAATCGAACTCAAGCGGAAGTGGCCTTAGCTTCTTAATGCTGTGCTCTAACCCGCTGCGCCACCAGGAAGGGCCAACCTTTTTTTTTTTTTTTTTTAATGAATGACTAAATTTTTCCTCCCTCTGACTTAAAAGAAATGTACCAATCTTATCTCACAGTACAAGGGACTGGTCATTCTGATAATAAAAAAGTGTTACTAGCTGTGAAACACTTCCAGGGAGCCTGTACAATCTCGTATACCACAAGCATTAATGTTTTCTATTTAACTTCTGAAATATTTAAATAGCTACACACATTTTACCTGTATGAACCCTGGGCTGGCTAATGTAGCACAATGAGCTTAATCTTACCTTAATGCTTTGTATTACTGAAGTGCTCTGCAGGGCCTTAGGGTCATCACAATGAAAAGCCTTGTATGATTATGAAAGTATCAGCAACCACTGTAGCCAGAGTTTGCTCTCCAGCCCTGGAGGTGACCCACATGTCGCAGCAGACCTCTCCTGCCCTGCACTCTGCCACATAGAGTGTATTTCCATCAGTCCTCTGTTCTACTTCTCACTCTGTCTCTGGTGAATCCTCTCATCGCTTGCCACACTTCTGACCTACAGCCTAGCTCTTGTATGTGTAAATAAGTAAATCTTTTTTTTTTAATCATTTTTTAAAGATTTATTTATTTGTGCATACAGAACTGGGGTACAGGCCAGAGGCTCAGGGGCGGCAAGAGGTGTCACCAGAGACAAAGTGGGGAGCAGAA